ACGGGGTATTCTCTGAAAATGCGGTGCTCATTGCGTGAGCTCCGTTGGGTTTTTCTACCAGATGGTTGTGTAAAACCTGGTCAAACAAATTGTGACCCTGGTTGGCTTTTTTGAAGTTTAATTCTTGTTTTTTTAATTTTTTTTTTTTTACATCTATAGATTTTACTGGTTGTGTTCCAGTAAATACTACAACTACTTTTTGGAGCTCACATGGGATAAAATATGGGGCTAGCACTATCATTTTTATTTTTTTCACTTTGAAGAGAAATACTTTCAATATTTGGAAAAGCTCCTGGGCCTTACTCCTACCCACCCTAATGGCACTCAGAGGATTCCTAAGAAGCTAATCCAGTGGTGCTTTTAAAGTGAAGATATGGGAAGGATCAAATTATTTTCACTATAAATTGGAACTTACCCTTTTTTTTTCCTTGTCAGGTTCATTAAATTTTAGAGACCGCTATTTACTTCTTAAAGACATTGTATGTATTTTTTATATTAACTTATTTTTTGAGAAATTTGATATGTACCTCAGATGGTTCTATAACAAGATACCGCATATATCGTTGAACTTAAGAAAAAGTTGACATTAGAATAAATAGAATATTGTAGCTTATTTATAGGGGAGAGAAATTTATGGCATAACATTGATATGAAACATTGAAGAGCTTGGTAGGTCTACAGAGGTTACTTTTTGTAATCTCTAAGGACAGTATCTTTCTACCTAAAAAGACAGACTTTTCCATCGTAGCAGGCACCTTTTATGCTCTCGTGTAGCAATAAATTACTGATTCATGGATATTCCTTAGGAGAGAGACCACGTTACATTGATTTAACTACCTGATTTGTAGGGTTTGGCTAAGGCCTTTGAAACAGCTCTTCAGAAAAGAAACTGGGCATTTTGAATCCTATATTTTGATCTGCAACATACCTTTCTTTTCTTACAAAATACATACAACTTCGAAAAACACTTGCCTTTCCTGTTACAAAAAAGATTACTTAGATCTTTAAACATTTATGTTATTTTATGTTCTCGAGAACTTTGATGGGATGACTAGTTAAAACTGATGGAGCAGATAGGCAAAAACCGAGTGACAAGAGATAACAGTAGTTCTCCTAAGAGTCAATCAGCCTGCTGTGGTAGCAAAGTCAGAATTAGAATTCAGCTCTCTGTGACTATTCCAGTAAATTCCAGTTGTGCAGTAATTTTACCTGAAATTTTTTTTGACATCCTTATGGATCTAGATATAACTTGCATTATTCAGTTAACTGGAAGAAACTTCTTTTTTTCAGAATCATCTTTTGTTGGTTGAGTGTTGCTATGTATTCCTTTGGAAAGCTCTGGTCATCACAATACTTTTATCTCCGATTAAGATATGGTCCCCAGGAGCAGCCCTGTTACTGACTTAAAATAGTAGCAACGTTGTGAGTAACAGTAAGTCATGGAAAATATGTTACAACGATAGATGTAAACCCTCAGTTGAGAAAGTGTCTTCACACTGATAGAAAGTGCACTTTTGGAGTTCACAGAGAGCTATTTTTTTTAAATTAGAAAAGAGAAGAGTTGAAAGGGCATATAATTGAAGTTTATAAAAATTGACATTTCC